GACTGGAGCGTATCAGAGTTCAGTCTTGTTCAGGGAGAGTAAAACAAATGTTTAACAAGTACTGGAACAGGGAAGTCTGCCCTCCAAGGCAAGAAAGAAAATGTGCTGTTACGGTCCTGCATTATTCCTGCCTGATCATGAGCATGTTTGTACCAAAACCTTTGGCCTGATACTGATGGATATAAGGCACCAGAAGGGGAGGGGATTCTGTCTTGCCAAAGCAGCACAATCAGTGTTTCCTTCACAATGAAAATCAGGGTTCGTATTGTAATTTCTGCGATCCACGTACCGATTACTTGCGGAGTTACTGATTTTCCCCCCTCTCCTCTAGAAACCTCCTCCATGGTGCAAGTAGGCCACACCACTTTGGTCCTGTCTATACCTCCCAAGGGCACTTATGGATCCCCAGTGCAAGGTCTGCAAGGGAAGGGAGCACAAAATTGTTCAGCAACCCATTTGGGGTGCCTCATTGATGAGAGGGAACTTGCTGTAGGATTAGATTTCTCATGCCAACTGTAAATTTAACTAGTCCTTCCTGTAAATGACCTCTTTCATCCTTAGTTCCCTTGTATATGTTTGTCAGCTATTATCCATTGTCCGTATTATCCCACATTACTATTCCTTATTATTCCATTCTGAGCAGGCACACCTCTTTCATTTGCCATGTAAGCTTACACACAGCAACTAGCCATTGTGATAGCATCTGGTTCTCATTGCCATATCTAATGGCAATGTAATCCTTGCTGCATGGCTGGGTGGGATGTGATGGAGCTAGCTTTGACATCTCAGTGCTATTAACCATAACACCTTCTGTCTCCATGTTCCATAGTCTTAATAACCATAGAGCGACACTTTCTCTCAGTTTTGTTTAAATCTTTGTACTAGATCCATTAATTCAGCCGCTGTATATGGGTGAGCCAGAGTATGTATTGCTATTTCAGCAGGTGGCCATCCCTCAGGTGGTACACCTGCTGGTCTTCCCTGGAAAGTTTTAGTTTTTTGAGTCAGTATGTGTCACATTTCTAGGTGGTTCCAGTTGTACTAGAGCCTCAAGTTTTGTCACCTTTGTCAATTTTTGTGAGATTATATTAATAGCTTCCAATTCACCAGAAGTATTTTCAATTTCTTTCTTGTTTTTTCATCCAGTTATATTACAAGGATCCTACTGCTCCAGATTCGAACCATCTTTTAAGACTGTGAGTCATATTTTCTTCAATGGTAGATTCCTACCAGTAGCTAGATTCCTACCTAGATAGAGCACCAGGTACTTTATCACCAGTTCAAACCATGACTTAACAGTTCCTCTACAGTAACCTTTACAACCAAGTTTTTCAGTCCACACTGATAATTTCTGATTGTTGGCAAACTGCATTTAAATTAGAAAGTTTAATGAAAGAAAAATAACACCATAAATCGATTCAGTAGTTTCGCTTTGCTTATCTGTAGCAATGCCCTTATCGTTTTTCACTGCAGTGTGTGAATGTTATTTTGTTATCTATTCTGTTTTCATAAACCACTTTTTTTTTTTAAATTAATTTCATTATGAGAGTTTTTCACTAATTATAACTTCTGTGGCATTCTTAGAATCCCCATTTCAATGTTAATTCTTTCATAGTATAAGAAACTTCAACTGCTATATGGAGAAGAGTCTCGGACTCTTGCTTAGCTGTCTTTTGTCAGTGTCAGTGTTTTGGAATTGTGAAAAAACTCCATGTTCTATCCCATATGCTCTGACATTTTAGTAGGAGTGAATGATCATTTAGAAAAAAATGAACTTGCGGGGTAGAAATTTCCTGATTGGTGGTACTTGAATACAAATCACTCTTTTTTAAAAATCATGGAAAATAGACCAATGTGAGAGCATCAGTAAGAGTGTCTTTGTGCTGTCCATAAGGGAAAGAGTTTTCCGAGGTGTCATTTTGAGCTTTTTGCTCAGAAGTTTGTTGTATATCTGATCTCTCATGTATGTGATCAGAAATTCACAAGTCTCTACAGCATCTTTTGCAAAGATCTTGATAAATATCTAGCTGTATTTCAACAAATGCAGGAATTTTCTGAAAATGTTTAACTGTCTTTCAGCTTTTTACTTATGTTAAATTCATGAAATACTTTTCTAGTGGTAAAATTCCTCTGCCTCCATTCTGTCTATTTCTTTTTCTTCCCTCTGTGCTAAATCTGCCTCTCTTTGGGGAAGATTCTTGGCTGATCATTAGAAGTGTGAGGAATGGCTCTCCTACAGGCAAGCAGTAAAACACAAAAAATATTGCTTAGCAGAAGGTCCCTTCTGAAGTCTGGATGTGGGAGTCGTATTTTGTTAGCACCTTGAGGCACGACAGTGTCTTAGCACAAGTTCCCTGTGGCTGCTCGCATCATTTCACGAATAAAGCATCTAGCAGAGTTTTTTCCTAAAGGCTTCTTCATTTGAAGTAATTAAAGTTTTTTTTTCTCCTGAAATTCAGTAGCCAGAAGGCTCTGAGTGTGCAGAGTGGCTTCTAGTGACATTATTCTTAAATTGAAGGGAAGAGGCCTATATTGCTACCAGACAAAACGTTGCATTTAAGAATATATACACCTTCTGAATATTATTGTGGCAGACAAATGGCTTGAAGACTGGCATGTGACAAGGGGACACCAATAAAAATGCATAATGGTATTTTATATATGTATGTATTGAATAGCTAGATGAGTATAGTATGACAGAAAGAAGCCACAAAGGCTTTTAGAAGAGTAAATGAGTGCTCTAAAACCAACTAGAATTCTTGTGACTGAATTAAAGACGCTACATAGGCTATCAGGGAGGTTCACACCTCCTTTGAGTAAAATCCTTTCTAAGCAACAATGAGAAAAGCTTTGTCAAAGGGTGCAGCTGTATGTAAGTAGAAAAGAAGGGAACTAACAGTTTTCAGAAGGAATGAGTTTGATCACTGACTGTCCCAGAGAAACACAAAGGAACTGTTGGTTTATTTGCAACCTTGAAAAGTAAGGAAGCAGCTCTCTGTGTTGCAGCAGGATTAAAATGATCCAGCTTTATCCAAAGATTGGGAGTTTTCTAAGACTGCTAAAAGACTATGGCTGAGATGAACAGTTTTTCTTAACTATATTTTTTTGCGTATAACTGGCTGTTGATGTAGTTGTGCACCTGTTATGTCTGTAAGTTATGCACGCAAGACTGCAAGATATAAATGCAGCAGCTAGGACAAGAAGTGGATGAGACTGGAAATTCCCATGTTGATGTAAATATCAAGAATAATCTGGAGTCATTGTATGGAGGAATTTACTCTTTTCTGCTTGCTGTAGGTGGCTGAATTTGCTCAATCTGCAAAAGCTGCAAGAGAATTACATAATGAAAGAGAAATTTACACTAAAAATTGATGAAGCTGTGCAAGGGACCAACTTGTTCTACCTCTAAGAAAAAGCCAACAAAAGCTTCTTCAGTGTAGGTAGCCAGGTTTGGGGGCAAGTTATACTTTACTGCTGAATTCTTGCTTGTGGAAGTCTCTTTCCCATTAGTCCAAACTGTGCACAATTTTGTCAGTGGTTGGGTCAGAATGATAATTATCTTTGTTGAAAAGGGTAGATAGTTTAGGAGATAGGTGCCTCCTAATTAGTTAAGGGCTTTAAAGATAAGTGGTCTTAAAGTAAATTTGCTTTCAAAGGAATAGGCAGTAGAGTGCTCAGAGCACTGGCAAAGTGAGCTCCTGTCAGGTTTTCTTAGAGTAATGTGTGCTGCATATTTCGTCATTTCATCCATTGGCATGATATTTGACATCAGCAGTTCCAGCTTCTTAATAGCTTTTAAGGTAGTGGTTGTAAATTATTGCAGTTCAATTTTATTACTGTTTTGTATCTACCGAGGGCTGTGTCCTTTTTGCAGCTTTGCATTAGCTTAGTGAGCACCATTAAAATATTGATATTTGTTCTCATTTTGGTAGCATCAGTAGCATTTTATCATGCATCAACTGCAGTAGTTTGAAATGACAAGCATGTTCCCTTTTTCTAAAAGCAGGAGAAAAATTATTTTATATTTCTACCCTTCTGCAATCCATGACTTTGCTAAAAAAGAAAGAAAGAAACAAAAACCCTCATAACTGTTTTGTTCTGGGGACATCTAGCTCTTTACAGCAACAGAACAGATAAGAATCAGCAGCCTTTACAGGCCCCACTGGGAGCTCATGGAAGCATCAGCTTGGAAAATCAGCCTTTGAAGTTCCAGTGTGGATGCCTACAACCAGGACTCTGACTTCGAAACCACATCTTATTATATAGCAAGAGTCCTTGTAATGTGCAACTAAAGCTAAAATCTTCTGCATTTCCATAAGCTGATGGGCTTAAATGAAACACATTTGAAATGCCATACATGATTCAGTAGCAGGAAGAAGTTTACAGCACCCATGTCTTATTTGGATTGTATCAGTGTAAGAACCTGTGATTTTGTTTTCTGAGAAGGGCACCACTAGATGATTAAGCGTAATAGAAGGAGATGGCAGCCTTTCTTAAGCTGCTGCTGAGGTCTTATTTTGTGAGGCAGCTGGAAATTGGCACTTTGAATGTATTGTTTTCTACCTTTCTGATATCCCTAAGAGTTCTGCATTCCGCTGGGGAATGGATTATTGGACCTAAATTAGAAACAACTGCAGAGATAGTCAAATCCTCCCCTGTTAGCAGAGGACATGGCAAAACTAGTATCAGCCAATGCTGCATCCAGGTGACACCAACAAGCAGGAGATTAAATGGTAGAGCTGTACTGATGGGCAGTCCTGCTAAGTGTGACCTTCAGTGTATGACAGTATTTTATAAATGAAAAGTCTGTCAGTAAAACCTTGCAAGGTAAAAGGTATCTAATGACATTCTGGAAGCTTCTTTATCTTGAAAAAAGATGAAACTTGAGAAGCAAGAAAATGAGAGGAGTTTCTTTGAGATAGATGGACTAAAATGCAGAGAAAAGAAGAGGAGGGAAAAATCCGTATTCTTACTAATAGGAGTCAACATTTATCTTACAGGAAAGTTGAAGTTTTGCCTTCTGATTCTGAACCAGCCTTTCGACAGAAGTCATTTTCATTGCCTGTGGAGCAAAGGTAAGAATAATTTACATATACGTATATATAATTTGCTAATTTACTTGGCTGCTACCCAGCTAATAAACTTAATGTCTGTTGAATTGCATTGTGGCAATATCCTCTAACTAGGGCAACCTTCCACTGAGGGTGTGGAGCAGCAGACTGTGTCCCTCGTTGCTGAATGCAGTGAGTGAGCTGATGCAAATTCTGTATTTGCATTTCTCTGTATTGCTTACATCAGTGGGAAGTTTATGTGCTGCTCTGTGAAAGGTTCTATAGCTTTTCAGAGGCATCTGAGGAATGATCGTTGTTTTGATGACAAAGTATAGTATATCAATGGTGCATTTAAATGTCTGGAAGCAAGCATTCTTTAAAGGTCATCAGTGAAAGATGTAACTTTTAATCAAAATAAAATGAAGTATATTGATATTATGTTGTAAAACGTGGGGATTTGTGTGCGTGCCAGAAATAATGCAAATCAAATGTCACTACCCTTTTGCTTAATGTGCAGTGCTAGTCATCATCTCTGGTATGATAGCTGCAGATTTACTGACATTGTGTGAGAAGAAATAAATCTTAAAAAAACTGGAGCTATTAATTTCTCCTGTGCAAAATTGTAGTCCTTCACAACTTTGTGTCAAACGACAGATTCCTCTAACTTGTTACCAGTCTGGAAACCTTGCAGATGGATTCCTTCTAACTAACTGGGGCAGATAGAGCTGTTTGATTTCACTGTAGGCAGGAAGGAATTGGAGTAAGATATGAAGTTAGGAGGATGTATTCATGCCATCTAATTCCAGCAAAGCCAAGTAGGTGCCTGTCTAGACACAGAAAGGAGAAAAGAAAGGAGAATTGCACAAGATGATTCAAAGCTTCTGAATGTGAGCTGTACCCCAGACGGGCTGTTCTTGACCTGCACTGTCCTCCAGAAATACTTAGTGAAGGGATAGTCATATGTATTTGAGGAATCTTCAAGGTGTGATTTTAGGTATTTTTTTACTTGAGAGAATGCACTGAAATTATGTATTAAATGCTGAAAGAAGGAAGAATGTTTTGACCTTATTAATTTGTCCCAGCTTCCCTCCCTTCCTGTTTTGAGGACTGAGGTTGGAAAACAGACAGCAAACTATACTAGTCATAGAATGGCAGTATTTCTGTGCTCTGCTTTGTTAAACCAGACTTTTTTTGTCTGTCCTCTGGAGTTTTAGATCTTCCTCTTGCCATCAAATTTGTGCAGAGTGTGGAGTGCTTCTTACTGTAACACTAATGGATTCTAAACCATAGTAATTCAGTGAGGGATTGGGATGAGAAGCTGAATAAAATTTGGTGGACTACAGAATGTCTTGCTTGAGTTTACTGCCATGCATTCCTGTCCTCTGAGCATATCTGCATTGGAAGTATACTGGTCATGCATATAGTTTTTCAGAGTGTCTGGAAAAGTTAGTAGCAGAAGTCATATTTAAGCTGATAGAAGTTTTGCTGGTAGGTTGTCTCAAGAGAGAGGTGAATATTTTCTGTCAAAGGAAAAATGAAAAGGGAAGATAGTAACATAGCGAACCTAAAACGTTTTTTGTTGAAGACATCTCAGCTTTAGTAACTAAGCCTCAACTTTGAATCCAGGGCAAGCTTCTGTTAATATTTGACTAGCAGATTACTGGAGGTGTCAGCAAACTTGTGCCTCCTGGACCTTGGTTCTTGAGGAGTCCCTGTAGAGAGACTGTTGTGGGACTAGGAGGCCTTGGGTATTTTAGTATACGAAGTGAAAGGTGTTCTGAAGGAATGAAACGTCCTCAGGAACAGTGCTAGATCAGCAGCTTGAGGTCTCATAGAAATTCTAGTGTATGTAAGTAATGAGAAGGAAGCACTGGCTGTTGATCCAAAGATGCAGCTTCACAAATCAGGTAAAAAGAGAGAAAAGTGCAAGGGGAAAAAAAAACCAGAAAATTTTGACCAACTTTTTAAAGTTATTGCAATCTTGTTATACTGAGTACAGTATACTGAGGCAGAAGTGTTATCTTCAAGTAAGTTGCTTCTTCCTATCTAAATAAGTGTCCCTTATTTTTTTTTTTTCACTAGTTCTGTCACTTTAACATCAAGAAAAATGAAGGTGTGATGTGCCTTGAGGTTTTTCGGTGTTTTTTTTTTTTTTTAAAGGAAAAAACTGTGTTGATAAAATGTGGGCTAAAATAATTCGAGGTGTAACTTTGCTTGACTTCAAGAAAAGTGGTTGCAGCTAATTAGCCTTTGTTTTTAACAGGTTTGTATGAAATCTATTTTTACAGACATACTTTGAAAAGTACTATTTCAATCTGTGCAAATGTGCATGAGCTTCCTGTCACAGAGTTATCTCTATATCTGTGTCTGTGACAGAGGACAGCAGGCTCACAGGCCTGGAAAAGAAGGAAAGAGAGAAAAAAACATTTACGGCTTACAGGCCAAGCTGGGCCACCTCGTGACTAATGAGACAGGGAACTCATGGGTCTGCACCCTGGGAGGGGGGAGAAGGGGAAAGGGAAGATGGTAGATGGGTCCAAAAACAGAGCAGTGGCAACAATCTGAGAAGGAATGCAATATATGATATAGGATCTTGGAATGCAATGTATGAAATACGATCTCGGAATGCAAGGTAATACAGTACAGCACAATACAATTGAAATTGAGGCCAACAAATAAAAAAATATATGAGGGAGAGAGTGTCCAAGACAGAGACCCTACTCGATAGACCACATGGGGACCACATGCTTCTCCACCGTGAACAAAGTGAGAGAGAGAGGCAGACTCATGACCTGCCAGGAGCTCCACCTTTCCTCCTCTGGGCATGATGTCCGCTGGGGAATGCCGCTCCTCCCCTCCCCGCTGAGAACCAAACACCCAAAAGAGGCAGTCCACAAGTCCACAGATCCAGAACATTAACTCTTCAACTCCCACTGCTTTACATGATGTTATTATGTGTAATACTGACAACAAAAAAATCACAAAACCACAACACTTCCTTTCCTGTGCTTCGTGAATGACGAATTCTTTGCTTACAGGAGATATTTAGTAGTTTTTACCGCTTTAACTGTAGAAGATGGCTTAGTGACAATAGTGGAGTAGTGCAAGATTACCATGATTATTATTTATTTTAATATTTATTAAAACAGTTGACCAGGCTACATCCTCTTACTTTTGTGCCAGATACAGTCATCAACTCCTAAAATTAGATAGTACTGTCCTAAAGGCAGGATAGATTAAATGTTGGAGAAGGATACTACACAAAAGCAGAGAGCAGAGTAAACTGGTAGAAAACACCCGTGGTTTACTGATGGGTTTATTCTGTCGGATGTAGTAGAGAAAGAGAAGACAGCATATCAGTAAAGGGGGAACAGAAGAAGGAAAACAGTCTCCTGGTAAGTGAAGCCGATATGAAGAAACTGAATGTAGGAAGATGAGATAAAGAGGACTGAGGGTAGAATGTGAATAAACAAACCTGGGAGCATCAGTCAAGTCCTTCAAATGTTCTCTGACTGTATTTATTAGTGTAGCCATTCTTAGTGATGGAAATTCTATGACTTTCCTCACAGTCCTTATCCTCACTGTGGAAAATATGTGGAAGACTGGGCTCTTATTAACTTGTCCCATGGAGGTGTGCATTTCTTGTGTCTAGGAGGTGCCTATAAGGAAGACTTGATTCAGTGAGGCCTTACCTTCATCCTGTCAAGTACCTGCTTGTGGCCAGTAGAGTGAAGGAGGTGATTGTCCCTCTACTCTGCCCTCATGAGGCCCCATGTGGAATACTGTGTCCTGTTCTAGGGACCTGAACTTTGGAAAGATAAGGAGGTTTTGGAGAGGGTTCAGAGGACGGCCACAAGGATGATCAGAGGGTGGCTGGAGCACCTCTTCTATGAAAATTGGCTGGGGGAACTTGGCTTGTTCAGTCTGGAAAAGAGAAGGCTCCAGGGAGAGCCTTCATTGTAGCCTTCCAAAATTTAAAAGATTATGATCAGGAGGGAAATCAACTTCTTACATGGGTAGATAGTGATAGGACAAGGGGGAATGGTTTTAAATTGAAGGAGGGAAGAGTTTAGATTAGATGTTAGGGGGAAGTTCTTCTGCAGAGAGGATGTAGAGATGCTGGAACAGGCTGCCTGGAGAGGTTGTGGATGCCCTGGCAGTGTTCAAGGTCCTGATGGATTGGACCCTGGGCAACTTGAGACTAGTGGCTGGCAGCCCTGCCTACTTTAGAGGGGTTGGAATTGGATGATCTTTGAGGTCCCTTCCAACCCATGCCATTCTGTGATTCTATTTCAGTAGCATTTGTAGATTCCATTTTATTTCCTTATTCCCTAAAAAATGGTAGGGGAAAAATATCTTGCTTACATTTGTTTGTAGTGCTACTTTGTAAGTGGTTCTAAATGTAAATATATCTTTAACTGAAATTACTTTGTTGAATACCTGATATTGTTTCTGTGTTAAGTTGGAAAATACTGAAGCCCATGTTAGTGGCTGAAAAAATAAGTTTTATGGAGAGTAAATGAAAGTTCCCAAGATTTTGAATCTGCTCTTAATTTTTTTTTAATGAAAAAAAACAATTACTTATTCCAGGAATTTCATCATTGTTTCATCATTCATAATTGCAAGTTTATATGTGTGCTTCTTTATTTATTTATTTATTTATTTTTAATGTCTCCCTAGTAAAGTTCCATGTAAGGGGCAATATTACTACAATGTTAAGACTTCTTCTGTGTAAGATTTTGCTCAAGTTCAGGACCTGAATCTGTTTCTTGTTTCTGAAAGCACTGCCCTTAAAAGCTGTGGTACTCAAATGGTCCAGAGATGGCTGCATGTCCTCACTTGATGGCAAAATACTAGTTGGCTTTGTGCTGTGGAGTACTTCCCATTTTTGAAATGCTGACAGAGGTAACTGTAAAGAACAGAGTTATGCTTCGAAAAATGAAATTATTTCAATAATTGTAGTAATATGACAATGTTATACAGCAATCTGATGAAGTGCCCATCCATGTTGTATTTCCAGAAAT